CAAAGAAAATGGGTTAAATGGGTAGATTGCAAAGGAATTGGGTATTTGAAATTGGGGGTGGGTTATTTGATTCTTAAGTTGACATGTATTTTGTCGTTATAATTAGGGGTATATATGTGTCAAAGTATAACGATAGGGGTATATTTAATTCAAAAATATAACGAAGAATATATAGAGATTATTTTCAATAATACAAGGGTATATTTGACCTTTTACCCAAAAATAAACATAGGACGGGGTGGTTGAGAAATTTAAAGACCTTTTGGGGGTTAGGTTAGTAGTGGAACCATAAAGATACGTGGTATGGGCTATGGGACAATGTTCTTATATTTTCAGATATATGGATTCTGGTACAACTAATTAATTTTTTATCAAAGTAAGCTATTATAAAAATTAATTTGTCAAAATAATACGTTTTTTTAAAATTTTATAAAATTAGTATAAACGTAGTTCACAATAACGTTTTAGGTTATATTTTATTCAAAAAAAATGAATAACAAAAAGACAAAAATCTGACAGAGTAATCAGACATAAAACGTTATTGTCAGTAACGCTTTATAATTCGTTACTCTGAAACACGTTTTACAGCTAAAACGTGACTCACAGTAACGTTTCTCAATGGTGAAAATTGAAATCCAATCTTGTATATCTCTCATTCATTATTCAAATTTCCACTATTAAAAATGGATAGATATATTTTGTACATATCCTCATTTGAAATATATATGATTTTCTCTTTTCTTTCTCTTTTCATATAGACAATACTTTTTTTATACAAAAGGAAAAAAAAGTGAGGATGACTGTACACAAATTGGAGCTTGTCTTGTATCATTTCAATTTCAAAATTTATAAATAAATCATATGAGAGATCTTCTTAATTCAAGCCTAAGATAGCATCCCTTCCAAATATTAGACCAATCGGTTTCTTATCATTATTAAATATTAGACTATGAATAAAGAAGTTTTTGAATTAAAATTGATGTAATAAGTAAGCAAACCAACTATTAAAAAAAATATAATGGCTACATCATAATAGAAGAGACAAATGAATTCATTGATATTGTAGTAAAGCCTCCTCACAACTTATTTTCCTTGCAAAAGTATTATCTATGTAAGAAAAGAGAAGAAAAGAGAAATTTATATATGTGCATATATATGTGTAAAATATATATATTCATTTTAATAGTGGAAAGTTTAATAAAGTTGAATGAGGCATGTACAAGATTGTTTTTTTAATTTTCAGTCATTCTAGAAAAACGTTATAGTGAGTCACGTTTTATCTGTAAAACGTGTCTCAGAGTAACGAATTATAAAACGTTACTGACAATAACGTTTTATTTTTGTTTACTCTATCAGATTTTTGTGTTTTTGTTATTCAATTTTTTTGAATAAAATATAACCTAAAACGTTACTGTGAACTACGTTTATACTAGTTTTGTAAAATTTTAAAAAAACATATTATTTTAGTAAATTGATTTTTATAATAGCTTACTTTGGTCAAAAATTCGAGTTTTTAGATAGAGAAGATGACTTATGAAAATGGGTTTGGTTCAAGGTGGGTCATCAAAGAAAATGGGTTAAATGGGTGGATTGCAAAGGAATTGGGTATTTGAAATTGGGGGTGGGTTATTTGATTCTTAAGTTGACATGTGTCCCTCCGTTATAATTAGGGGTATATATATGCCAAAGTATAACGGTAAGGGTATATTTGATCCAAAAGTATAACGAAGAGTATATATAAATTATTTTCAATAGTATAAGGGTATATTTGACCCTTTACCCAAAAATAAATATAGGATGGGGTAGTTGAGAGATTTAAAGACCTTTTGGGGGTTAGGTTAGTAGTGGAACCATAAAGATACGTGGTATGGGCTATGGGACAATGTTCTTATATTTTCAGATATATGGATTCTGGTACAACTAATTAATATTATTATTATTAATATGATTGTGAAAAGTTTTCGATAGAAAAAAGAGTGTATACTCAATTATTTAAAGTGATTTTGAAAAGTTCTTAAATAGTTTGGAATTGAGAAGTAATCGTTAATTATTAATGTATGATTATGAAAAGTGACACTAATGTTCTGCCTATCCATAATATAAAAAGTAGTTTTGATGTGTTAGCTTAACATATAAATTAGTGACATGATACACCATTTGTAATGCACATTTGTTTTAATTGAATGAGGACTATTCCTAGGATATCAAAAATCAAAGAAAGATGAAAGGTTGGATTGGAGATAATGACTAGTCTAAAGTCCCTCTTGCATAATTTTGACACGTAGATATATGATTTACCAATTTAAAATTTAAAATTTATCAATTCTTATAAGAATATCAAGTTAATATATAACAATAACTAATTGCTTATATAGTTCAAATATTTACCACAACAACAATATATTCGATGTATAATTTTAATAGTAGTATCTGGAGAGGATGTTGTGTATACAACCTTATCTCTATCTAGTAAAGATAGAAAGATTGTTTTCACTACACCCTTGACTAGGGGTGTACAAAACCAAACCAAACCACAAACCGAGTCAAATCGAGAAAAAAAAACCCGACTAGTGGTTGGTTTGACTTGGTTTGGTATTGAGAAAAAAAACCTAACTATATTTGGGTTGATTTGGTTTTAACTAAAAAAAAACAACCCGAGACCAGACCAACCCGACATTATATATATAATTTTAAAATTTTATTTTATACATAAAAATACTTATTTTGATATAATTTTTAAATATTTCTTATGCTTTTACATAGTTTTTATCTTTTAATATATTATTTCAAATTTGAAACCTAGAATTCTAAATAGTTTAATAAAGATTATAGTCCACAGATGTTGGTAACTATAATAAAGCTTAAATCAAAATCAAATTAATACTAATGCAAAAAGAAAATCAATTCAACACTAAGAATGACAATAATATTGAATATTTGTTTTTTGATTTTACATTGGTTTAGATAATTCAAATGCATAATCTAGTTTTAGTTTCCTTTAATATTTAGTCATGTAACTAATACTTATTAAACTTATTTTAGCATGATTTAGTACTTTTAAATTATGATCATTTTCATATTTGTTTTACGCGATTTCATTATTATTATTTTTTTGTTGGATATTTTAGTATCATTACTCACATCATATTTTGTGTTAGTTTCTTAAGAAACACCTTAAATATTTGTATTTTGGTAGGACTAAAAAAATATTTGAAGTACAAGTAAATTATATGTTTGTATGAATAAAAACCCGAAAAAACCGGAGGTTGAAAAATCCGAGTTTTATTGATTTGATTTGGTTTATAGATTTAAAAATCCGACACAGATGGTTTGGTTTGATTTTTGAAAAACCCGAATCAACCCGATCATGTACACCCCTACCCTCGACTATGATCAAATATTCATTATCATACTCAATATAATTCCACAAATAGGATCTAGAAAAAAAATGATGTATGTTATTTGTGATGGATCATAACATTTGTAATATAATATATTAAATTTGAGCAAAAGCTGCTGAATTCTAAATATGTCGCCATCAACTATAGTACTTGTAGACAATGATATGGTGATGAATATGCAAAAGCAATGTTTCTTTATTCAATGTAAGCATTATTACAACACCTTTTTCTTGGGAGGGATTAAATTATTGAAGGTGGTAGGGTAGTGGTAATGTGCCAAGGAGATAGAGAATGTGAAGAAGAAAATAGAACAGGCTTGAGTGGTAATAAGGAATAGACAGCCTGTTGTTGGCCTTTCTTGTCTAGTCCACCATATGCCAACTTTTATTTAATCAAATTACTAAATAAATGACTTGTCAAATAAAAAGTAACTCATTCACTAAGGTTTCTATTTAAGGGGATGGCATGTGCCAATATGTATAGTGAGGACTTCCACTCAAAATTATCACCTATAATATTTATTTTTTAAAATATAGTTAAGTAGATATACTAACTACGTTTGCTTAGATATGTACTTTTTTCATATAGTTTTGTAGGCCCAAGTTAACTCAGATATTTATGTTCTGACCCCCCACTTCACCCAACTTTACGAGATTTTATTTAGGGATCTAAACTTGTGTAAGTTTATTTTTTTTAATTATTTATTTTTCTTTAAAATTTGTTTTGAAAAATATATTATTTTCTATATTTAGTAACTTTTTAATTTCTAACATTTTCGTTTGCCTTTAGCAATACTCCTAATAGAAATAATATGACATGTTTAAGTTCATAAAATTCGAAGAATTTTTTCTATATGTTGTACACATTTTTAATTTGAAATAATAAGACTTAGAGAAACTACCTGGTTTGACAGCTAGAGCCAAAATAAATAAAAAATATATGAACCTCACTTATGAAGTGCTACTAATATCAGTCCTAAACCTTTATTACAAAAAATATAAAAATAGCTAATGCCCTTCTCTCTTTTGTTAAAATGTTGTTACTCTTTCTTTTCTTGCTTTATCCATGTTGGCTAAAAAATGGCTAAAATGCTACTATACTGATCAATATTTCTTTTTAAAAGTAAATGCTACTAAGTTAGTACTAATATTTGAGATTAACAATAAGACTTTTCTCAAAATTGTACTGCTAAACATTAGTTAATTGGATTGGGTCGAATGATTAAATAGAGGAGTATATAGATTATTTTACTATCATCTAGCCGTGCGATAGGATTATCTACAATTAATTAATCAGAAGTTCCGAATGCGAGTTTAAAAAGAACTGGAGTTTTTTTTCCTGAATGGACCCCAAAAAAAATTGTAATTGCTTTGGCACATAAGTAAATCTTTTTGCATTAACAAAGTAAAGCAACAGCATGCTTTATGCTACTTGTTGGTGTAGAGGTAACAAGTATGACATTATGCAATGTAGTTCATAAGGCTCGTGCACTAAGTTTTATAATTGATTCAAAAATTTATCAAAAAGATGAATCAAAAGTAGATGCTTATCAACCAAGAATACTGCAAAACAAGATTATAAAGAAGCCAAAAATAATAGATAAGTAACATGTTCATTGCAGCATATAGTAATTTCATCAAACAGCATAGCAAAGCTTAAAGTACTAATTCAAGTTTCAAGCATAGAGTTTACAACTCTTACTGATAACATGTCTCAAAGACAAACAAAAACCCATATTTAGAATGTCTACGCGCAGTGATCTGCATAGATACGAATCCAAAAGGTCCCAAAACAACAGCATAAAGAGACTTAGAAGGTGGTGCAATGCAACCATCTAATCCAAATCTGATGAAGAGGGCGATTCAGAGTAGATTGACTCATCATCAGATTCATCTTCATTATCCGAGGAATCAACAAGGTTATCCTCATGTTCATCGATCCAAGGGCTCCGAAAGTCTACAAGCTTTTTACATCTTACCTCAAGATCACCCTTCAGCTCCACATTCCAACACCCTTGGATTTCAAGGTGTGTTAGTGCCTTACACTGGGTGAGAATAGTCTCAATGCCAGTATCGCTCAACCGGTTGAAAGCAAAGTCAAGGCGCTGGAGACCTTTCATAGTTTCCGCTATAATCAGCGCCTCCTGATCATTGATATCAGAAGCTTCAACACTGGTGGGCAGCTCCCAAAGAGGCATGTTTCTTCGGAGATGAGTCAAGGACTTGCATTGTGTTCCGAAAGCTTTCAGACCCTTCTCTGTGATCTTCAAACAGTAACTGATGTCCAAGAAGGTTAGATTGGCCAAGAACCTCACATGCTTTTCAACCACCTGGTCAGTGACTTCACACATAGGGATTTGCAGTGTCTTGAGACATCTTCCACTGCAAAAAAATATCGGCATACTCTCTATAAATTAAAATCATTATAAAGACATCCTTGTTTCAATCTAAGATAATTGAAAAAAAAAAAGCGTGTCTCACATAAACAAAGGTTATGGGTAGGGACTGTATGCTATCCAATTAACATGACTGAGTGAAGTGCAGGTAATGTTGCGTAGAACTTCTTGTGAGTCCAAAATTGACTAATCATACAGTTGGATGGCTTACAGTTATTCTCTATGTTGTCCAGACTCTCCTAAATTGTTGTCGCACTTGTGTCGGATTCTCTAAAATGCACTACTTTTGGAGTATCCGACACACACCTATTGACATTTTTGAAGAGTCCACACAACATAGGTTATTCTAACCTATGCCAAACATCACAATTTATTAGCATAACTGAATCATAGTTTAGACAGTTCTGAGCTATTATGTGTCATTTCCGTGTTCATTTCCTGTCTCCTTAAAAATAAAACTGGAAAATAAAAGCACAAAGGTTCATATAGAAGACATATATTAGTGGAATAAGCTAACGGTATAGATGAACAAGCTAATTCATCACCATGGAGTTTTATTTAATTAATTGAAGAGAGTAGCCTATCTGTAAGTCTTCTTATATGAATCAGGATTTAAATTGTCAAGGCACCAACTAGCGTCTAGCAGAGTGCAATTCAAAAATGAGGGCCATTTGATAAAAACTCTGCATGGCTAATCATCATACGTTGTTTTCTTTTAGCTTTCACATTTTGGCCAAATGCCCTTCAAACTTGGCTCAAAAACTTTTCATTTTTAGCACCTCAACTAGGGTCAGTACCTATTAAGCACTCCAACTTAATTTAAAGTGTGCCTATTAAAGTTTAAATTCCTCATGACTAACCACTCAAAATGAAACAGAGCGTGAACTACACACAGGTGACATGGAAACGTTGACAAATACAAAAAAAAACAAACATGTGGCTTATCTTTCCAAGTAATCAAAGAAAAAGATTCTAAACAAGGAAAAACCTATTCCAAGACCTCAAACTTACTCCAATTCCCGTCGATGGCTCCCCACCCCATCGACCTCCCTATAATCTTCATCCCCACACTCTTACCCATTCTTCTTTAACAGCCATTTGCCACCATACATCACCTCTCTTCCACCAAAATGTCCCCACTCATAAAAAAATCACAATCACAAACAATTTAATAATTCCTAAAACTGAAACTGCAGATCAACTAAAACAAAAAATGAAGAAAAAACACCTCAATTTTGGTCTCCAGAAAAGGGGATACAGAAATGTTTAAACTTAGCGGCCAGAAATACCGGTTATCGAATAAATGGCATCAAGAAGATGCAGGTTAGATAGTTACAGAAGTAGTGAGATTGTAAGCTCATTTACCGAATTCCAAGCTTAATAGAATAACTGCGGCATTAACAAATTACGATCGTTAAGATATATTGTTACAGTTTTTTGTACTCCACATTCTGTCATATGCTTAATTGAGCGAGGAACTTAGGATAGAAAAAATGGTTTAGAGTTTAGAAGGAAAAAAGGATTGAATGAGGTTTTAATATGCCATTTTCAGATGACAAAGGTTACCAAGAAACAGATATTATATTTTCAAATAGGATTAGGAGAGAAATTGATTGTATTTTCGTTGCTCTGGTCCTCTAAACCTAAATGATGGTGGTCTGACGGCGTAGAAGGTGAAGGGGAAAGAGGATTCAAGTGATTCACGAGCTCAACACTGCTGAAAAAACACTTATTATGCCACGACAGATTTTGTGTTTAATATGAACACTTTCAATTAAGTTCAAGAGTTCAATAGGTACCGGTCCTAGTTGAGGTGTTAAAATGAAAATTGGAGTCAAGTATAAGGGGCCTCTTATGTATTTGGCCTTGAAATTATCTTGCCCCTTTCTACCTTCTTGTTTTAAACTGTTTCTTTCTCCTTATTTTTAGTTATTTATTGAATTTGTATAAGTTACATATCATATATTGAATGAATAATTTCTAGAGGCTTTATCATCATGTATTGTTTATTTCAAAAGTTATCAATTACTTTTGTTAACCTTTTGGGATTCTTTTACAGTGATTTACCAGTTCTTAACCGAAGCCAGCAGCTAGAAACTTCCATCAAACTCATCTGTTGGACCTCTGCATTACTCCATATGGGACACAAACAAGTTCCTCCTATTGCATTAATCCATCAAACAATTTCTCTATACACAAATACTCCAAGATCGCTATTTTCAATCAAACAAGCCTTCTTTAAACCACAATAAGGGGTGTCATACAATGCTTTTGTAGGAGCAAAGCTAGGGGACACAAGGGGATTCGCCTGAAAATTACACTATATACAATAGAATAGATACAGAATCAAATTGGTTTCGTGAGTTCATTTTTTTATATTTTGAATCCGTCACGAGGTTCCCCGGTGAAAATCCTGGTTCCACCACTGCAAGTTAACAAATGCTTGAAAATAATGCAAAGTTTTTTTCATTTTTTCTTATACCCCTCTTTAGTACTAAAACCCACAATCTTAGAGTTAGAACTAAATAGTATGAATTTGGAACGAATTAGGTAGAAAAAACAGTAACAAGAACAATACCGGCTAGCAGCGGAGGAGAATCCAGATATGCCGAGACGGTAAGTGGAGAGTCGCTGGACTGTGGACCTGCTCTGGCGAACAACTTTGCGGACAACAGGGTCAATCAGGTGGGGACGCTTAGCAATGCAGCATTTCCGGCACCAGTCTTCCAGATCAATCTCCGTCCAGCAGGAAGGACCGGATACCGTCTCCATCCAATTCCGACAAACTAACACCACCGACCTCACCATCAGATCCGGCGGAACAATCCTTAGGAAAATTGATGCTAATATCTCAGGGTTTAACTCATCCCACCTACCTCCGGTGGTGCAAACGGAGCCGTTTTCGACACGAACGCATACCCTTTTGCTCGGACCATTCATAGATTCCATTTCTTCTCTCTCTTTTTCCATTTTGGAGAGAAAGCTAAGTATTAGCTCTTGGAGTTTTCCCTTCTTGGGGTTTTGGTTTTGCTGGGAGAGTGTTTAGATGAGTGACACGTGTCAAGACATTATTTCATAGTAACTCATCTTACGGCTGACAAATGTCAGATAGGTGTGTGTAATTTCGTATTCCTTAGAATTTTATTACACATTAAAGTTTTGTGATTTGGACTTTTACTTTTTGCTAAATGCAAAGTTATTAATAATTTTTCCATAAATGATTTTTTAATTTAATAATATAACTAATTCATTTAATATCATTTTCTTGAGATATGCCAAATTTCTTGTGGTGGGCTGGCGGCGTAGAAGGTGAAGGGGAAAGAGGACTCAAGTGATTCACGAGCTCATCACTGGTTAAAAAACACTTTTTGTGCCACGTAAGGTTTTGTGTTTAATCGGTACACTTTCAATTAAGTTCAAGAGTTCAATAGGTACCGGTCCTAGTTGAGGTGTTAAAATGAAAATTGGAGTCAAGTATAAGGGACCTCTTATCTATTTGGCCTTGAAATTATCTTGCCCATTTCTATCTTCTTGTTATAAACTGTTTATTTCTCCTTATTTTTATTTATATATTGAATTTGTATAAATTACATATGATATATTGAATGAATCATTTCTAGGGGCCTTATCATCATGAATTGTTTATTTCAGAAGTTTTCAATAACTTTTGTTAACATTTTGGGATTCTTTTCCAGTGATTTACCGGTTCTTAACCGAAGCCAACAGCTAAAAACTTCCACCAAACTCATCTGTTGGACCTCTACATTACTCCATATGAGAACACAAACAAGTTTCCCCTATCATATTAATCCATCAAACAAATTTCTCCATAAACAAATACTCCAAGATCACTATTTTCAATCAAACAACCCCTCTTTAAACTACAATAAGGGGTGTCATCCGACGCTTTTGTAGGGGTCGAACTAGGGGCACAAGGAGATTCCCCTGAAAATTACACTATATATATATATATTCAAGATCAAAATTTAATTTTTTATATATATGGAGTCGATACTGAATCGAATTGGTTTCGTGTATTTATTCTTTTATATTTTGAAGCTCTCCTTGAAAATCCTAGCTCCACCATTGTTCCGCAAATATAATAAATTGCTCGAAAATAATGCAAAGTTTTTTCTTTTTTACTTTTACCCCTCTGTAGTACTAAATGACTCGAACCCGAGCTGCTTATTATCCGAGCAACCCTTATAGTCAAATAATGCAAAGTAAATAGTATGAATTTGGGTAGAAAAAAACAGTAAGAAGAACAATACCGGCTAGCAGCAAAGGAGAATCCGACATCGCCGAGACGGTAAGTGGAAAGTCGGCGGAATGTGGACCTGCTCCGGCGAACAATTTTACGGACAACCGGGTCAATCAAGTGGGAACGATTAGCAATGCAGCATTTACGGCACCAGTGTTCCAGATCAATCTCCGTCCAGCAGTACGGACCGGACACTATCTCCATCCAATTCCGGCAAACTAAGGCCACTGACTTCACCATCAGCTCCGGCGGAACAATCCTTACGAAAATTGAAGCTAATAACTCCGGGCTTAACTCATCCCACCTACCTCCGGTGGCGCAAACGGCGTCGTTTTCGACTCTAACGCATACCCTTTTGCTCTTACCATTAGTAGATTCCATTTCTTCTCTCTCATTCTCCATTTTTGGACAGAAAGGTAAGTATTAGCTCTTCGAGTTTTCCGTTCTTGGGGGTTTTTGGTTTTGCAGGGGACGGTGTTTAGATGATGACACGTGATAAAGACATCCTTTCATAGTAACTCATCTACGGCTGACAAATGTCAGATACCTCCGTGTAATTAGTACCTAGGTACTCACACAAATATTCTAAAATGCTTAAAACTATATATTTCAAAAATGTATATCCATACAAATATTATGACCATAAACTTCGAAAGTCTTAATTTTATTCTTAAACTTCATATTTATTCAAACTTTAACAAATAAATTGTAATGAAGGAAATAATAATTTAAATTTGATGAAAAATCGTAAATTATGTTAGACATTCCTAAATTATGATTCAGTCACAGAGATACCTCATGTATTCTAAAAGCAAGCACTTTTACCCAAATCCGTACTAATGTATAACGTTTTCAAACTAAATTTAAGTTATATACACTCATAATATAATAATTTTATTCCGCAAGAATGTCATAGTGTTTGATTTTATAATACAAAGAATACTTTTGTGCCCGAATTATAATATAGAGACATTCCACGTAATTTACTCTTTACAACATTATTTTTATTGCTATACAATCAAAATTTTACATTAAGGTTGATATAGACAGAAAAACAAAAGAAACTTATTCTTTTAAGAAGATTTAAAGAAAAACAAGTATTCAATATCTATGTTGTTCGGGACATTAATGCATGTTGGATCGTCCAAAATAGTGTATTTTTGGAAGGACCGACAAGGGTGTGAAGACATTTTGGAGAGTCCGAACAACATAGTTCAGTATCATTTGAGACATGTGGATGCACCTTCAGTTAGATTTCTGAGCCAGCAAAGTTTCCAAGTATTTCTCCACATAATCCAGGCCACACTGTGTCTTCACAACGGGTAATATGGCGGGGACGTCTAGATAGAATTCTGAAACAGACCCGTCAAGCTTGTCCCATTGTTTGAGCTGTTCACGTGCTGCTTTAACCGCTGCTCGTGCTGCACAATGGACGCTGGCTGCCAGAAGCAATGGTGGCTCACCAGATGCTGCGAAAAAGTATTCATATTAAGATTCAACGGTTTGTACATACAAAGACGGATCCAAGATTTGAAGTTAAATGATCAATACAATGAGTTTTGTTTATTTTCTTTTCTATTTTCTCTCACATCTCTTCCATTCCACAACACCATTCCATAACACCTTTCATGGAATCCGCAGTTAAAAACAAACAATCAATGAACTCGGGAAACTTGTTTGACAGCAGGGACGGGGAAGTAGATGAAGAAAGAATTATACCTTTAGAGGAGAGAACACGTTTTTCGTGGTGTCCACTGTTTACCACATGAACATTGAAGTTTCGAGGTATGGTGTCTATAGTCGGGATCTTGTATGTCCATGTGCTATTTGAGACCATCAACCCCTCTTCATTTGTAAGATACTCTTCGTTCATGAAAAATCCGATTCCTTGAACGAAAGCCCCTTCAATCTGCAAGGAATAGAATAAAAAACAATTGCCACCTATTTAGAACAATCTTGTGATCAAGGATTAAATAGTTCTGAAGTTTGAATAACAGCATTTTTTTTTTTAACAGCTCGAATGCATGATGCACCTGTCCCATATCAACAGCTGGATTCAAGCTCTGCCCACAGTCGTAAATAATATCAGACTGCAAAATGGTAGTCTCTCCGGTCAGAATATCAATCTCCACCTGCAAAAAGAGCCTTATTGATTACTTAGCCATATGAAGGCTCTGCAGAAAATATATTGGCTGTAAAATGGTTCACATCAGAGTTCCGGGCCAAGAGTTGTGCACTCAAATATATTGAAAAATGATAATCAAATACGATTCACTTTCAAGATGTCATGGTGGTGAAATGGTAGGCGGTAGACACAAGAGACTCAAAATCTTATGCTAAAGAGCATGGAGGTTCAAGTCCTCTTCAAGGTTGATCATTCATTCATTCTCAATAAGAGAGGTCGGATCAAATCAGTATTAATATATTGATTCGATCCGACCTCTTAGAATTGAAATAAATTTGGCATTGGATTGTGAAATCTTGGTGATCTAATTCTCTATGTCTGCTTTAATGTAGCAGACTGAAGCAGGGGGCGTTACCAAAACATGGACGACGGAACCAGAAAAAGTGCCAAACAACAAGTTTACCTCACTGACAGCAGCACCGAAGTTCAAATAACTCGTGGAATCAGATTCTGGTACATAATAAGAATTTGCTGCTAAGTTTACTGATTCCATTTGTGCCTGCAAAAAGAAGGGGGTGAGAAGGAGAGAACTGCAAACTCAGATACTTAAAAGATGAGCAAGAGTGGCTAATGGATTCAAATTAACAAGTTGTTGCCAAGCTACATGCACGCGATTAGTGCAATATGGTTCCGAAGCTACATACATGCAATTAATGACCGAACGGGTCGTTACATCTTCCCCCATTGACTTTAAGTGAATCACTTTGTTATGGTCTTCAAATTGAATTCAACACAAAAAAAATCATATTCACTTGTGTTACTCGATTTCAACTAGTACTTTCCAGAATTTTATCTTGTGACCAATTTAAATTTAGCATCTTTGGAATCACGAGTACTGTTAGGACGCGACGACATGTTAAGAACAAGGTAATCATTGATGATAATGCATTCCCTGCAAAGAGAACATCTCAAAGAATACAAATTAACTGTGACTGCAAAAACCAGCCCGAAAAAGCAGAAGTGACGGACTGTGACAATGTGAAAATTAGGTGGTAATATAGTGGGAAAACAAACCTGGCGAATCAGCGTTGGCCAATCAACAGAGACATTTTGTTCCTGTAACTTTTTCTTAAGAGGACTCAGCCTTTCAACCAAGACATTACAGCAAAGTCTAACAGCTTCACAACTTGATTCCGATGTAGTGCTGCCAGCTGTATACCCACCTTGCACCATGCTTAAGGTGTCTGCTTGTATGACTCGTATTTTCTCCACAAGTTCTTCAGCCCAACTGCTTTCAATTAAACCAAGAGAATAGGCAGTCATCTGCTTAACCTTTGTCCATAGCCCTTGGCCAATCTCAATCCCTCCAACCTCTACAACAATTGATCCGTCTTGCAGAATACTGACTTTTCCTGGTTTCGGTTGTTGTGTAGCTTCATACACTATTGGTACTCGAGAGATACCCCTTTTCTTCCATGTGCTTTTCTGGTTGAACTGTTCGATCATCTTGCTTCGTTGAAAAAAGCTTGAGGACACAGCCAACTTATCCATGATACTAGGCAATGTATATTCTCCTACTGATACAATGTTATCATAGACCAAATTAAGACTTTCAAATGTATGAACATTTTTATTTCTGACCGAGTCCACCTCCATCGACAGTGAACTCGATACATGCTCTATTATAGCTTCGGCAATATAAGATCCTTGCACCTCCCCAGGGGCCCGCATAGCCGATTTGCTAGTAAGATTTGTCTTGCATAGTTTTACATCGAAAGATAAGGCACCCCAATCATATTTCTTTAGTGCTTTAATCACATTTAAGGGTAACATGGGGCTTACATCGTCCGAGATCCCAGAATTTATCAATAGATCAAGATGTAATGCTGTGATCTTTCCACTCGACTTGAATCCTACACTATATGTTACTTTCATCGGGTGTCTTCCTCCTGTCATTATCATGTCACTGTTCCGGTTGACATATATCCTGACAGGTTGCCTTAACTTGTATGCTGCAAGTGCGCAGGCTGTGGAGATCTAAAATCATACATAAACTTTGACATCAGAATCAGAAAATTTCATAAACTAACACTATAGGAGATAAGCTAATAATGTTCAAACAATAATTATGTAGATAGTAAATTTTATATCACAAACTCACAGGCATTGATCTGATTGCCTTGCCCCCAAAGCCACCTCCAACTCTTCTTGTAATTACACGGATATTGTGTTCAGGAACACCAAGACAAGTGGCAATCACATGTTGTGCGCTCTCAGGGCACTGGCTTGAAGTATAAACAATCATGCAGTTGTCTTCATCTGGAATTGCAAGGGCAGTCTGTGTCTCCATATAAAAATAGTACTCGGAACCAAGTCTTACCTGGAAATGATTGTTAAAAAATCCAAGCAGTAAAAAGGTTCAAACTTTTAGCATACATCTACAGTTAGACAAGCTAGATCACCATCCAGGAATCAAAATTCAGGATGTTTAAGTATGAGACCATATCATCTAACAGCTTAGAGAACACTTTTATTTACTTAATTATATCTTCAACATGCCCCCTCACGTGCAGGTTTGGTTTTTCTTTTTATGAGACAACTACGTGTTAATCTTTTTAATAATGGGTGGCGGTGAGATTAGAACCTAGGACATCTGCCTGCTCAGATACCATGTTGAAGTGTGTGATCATCTCATCTTAAAGCCTAAGCTATTATTTAAGAGAGAAATATTTCCAACACGGGAAACCATTGTAACCAGGGGCGGCTCTTGCTTAGAAAAATTAAGGCACATGCCTTAGGCCCCCAATTTTGGGAGGCCTCAAATTTTTACCAAGAACAAATTATGTGTTTTTATTTTTATAAAAATAATAATTATTTATAATAAAAAGTATATATATATATATTATTTTATTCTCCTTAACTCCACTCAAATAGAAGAAATCAAGAAAACGTTGTTTTGTCTTATTACATTTCTGACATTCACATTATTTATTTATTTTAAAACTCTTTTTTCACTCTTTTTATTCAAATCTTTGATAAGTTAAAGTAAAACTCTATCAGAAATCTGAATCATTAGTCGAACAGTGTTGAACAAAGTAAATCGCAATTTTTTTTTACTTAAATTTTCAATCAAAGTTAGGTATATCAAGTTATCAACGTCTTGAATCAGATTCTATGGTTCTAACTCTTATTTTGCTTAAAGTTTGTCAACTTATTCCTTAGAGAATTATGTTAACAATTCATATAATGATTGCTTTAGTAAAAGGATATTTTTCAGCATTGAATTGATAAAATCTTACATAAAA